TGCTAGGAGCGTTTAAATATTATGAAAGGATATTACTACATACCCAAGATTCATTATTCCGGAAATGTGTAATTAGTCCGGACGAATTAACCGGGAACGTAAAATCCGGATTAACAAGGTTTCACTGTTCATCATAAATTGTGATGGATGTAACAATTTAATAGGTATACATTATAACATTATGGATAGTTTTATCAACTCTTTATGCTTCGGGATAATAAGGGGGCACGGGTGGCAGAGTTGCGTCCCTTGGGCTCGCCAGAAACCTATGATTGTTGCTTCGAATCCCGGGTCGCCCAGATTATGTTGTCAGCACCATACCAGTTCTCTTGGGTTTCACTTAAGTGGTAAACGTCTGAAGCCTGCATTCACTTCGGGCTTTCTGCCACATTAATTGGATACGCCGTGTTGTAATTGGAATACTCTTCAAAGCGGCGTGTAACACTACAGCTTTCATGTCACACAAGATAAGCGCAAACACAGATCGAATTAACAAGAGGACAATATATTGATGTCCATAAAAATCATGACAGTGTCCACACATGTCCTCTCTCAACGTCATCTCAGACTGAAAGGAGCAAGGGGCAATTGTCAGTTCACAAGTCAGTATCGGGTATGACCACCATCAGCATTGACAGCGGCGGTACTATTCCTGTTTGGCACCGTTTCCGGACACAAATGCAGTGACATTTAATCGTAGGCACAATGATAATTTCAGCGATCAATATTTAGGTCTTACTAGCACTACGGTTACCAAAGAGTTCTACATACAAGTGAGTGGGTGAGTGTGGTTTTACGCCGCTTTTAGCAATATTCCAGCAATGTCACGGCAGGGGACACCAGAAATGGGTTTCACACATTGCACCCATGTTGGGCATCGAACCCGCGTCTTCGGCGCGACAGAAATGGGCGTCACACATTGTACCGATGTTGGGAATCGAACCCGGGTCTTCGGCGTGACGAGCAAACACTTTATCCACTAGGCTAACCGACCGCCCTCTACATACAAATGCAGTTAAGTTTTGGATATCTAATCACAGGTACAATGACCATCTCATCCTTCAGCGCTCAATTCTTTCAGGATATACAAACCTATCATACTTAGACGCGGCGACTAGGTAGCTTTATCGTCGCATTTGTAACGTTTACTGGCTTCGAAAGCCGTGGGGATTCCGGGCTAGAAATGGTCCCCAGCAACCTATGCTAGTCGAAACAGGCGACATAAAAGTATGCGTGGCTAGGGCTTGGTGACTTAGGAGATAACACATCGTGTCATCGTACCCCGTGCATGGGACAACCCGTTTCAACATGCATTGAATTCTTGTATAATCCGATGTAACTTGATATAGCATTTAGTGTTAAATCGTGTGAAAATACTATTTAACTCTGTCAATGCCGAACTAAATATATGCTACTGAATAACTTCATTACTGAATAATATCATTACTACTATATATATTATTTGATTGTCAACCAATCTAAACCTGATTATTCTTTCGGGGTATATTGGTGTGGGTTGGCGATGTAGATGAGGGGACGTAAGTAAACGATTGACTCAAGGAAATGTATACCTCCATCCCCTACCAAATACCATGATCAACTGCGATATTGGGAATAAACTCGACATTCGCAAATGCATTTGTCATTTTGCAATGAAGTTGTTAGACGTCCTTAGTAAAGCCTTCAAAAGTTGTTTTTTTTATGATAGACATGTTGAGGACATTTCAAAATTTTACGTATCAGTGACAAAAATGATGTCCGATGTCTGTGGGTTTTTTTAGGTTGACTTGCCTTTGCGTGTGTTTGTGACTGGTGCCACTGATGGGGCAGGATACGCCCACCTTTTTCGCGAACACCTGGTATCATCACTATTTGATAGTGATTCATAACACATACTCATGATATAGTCAGAATCGTACAATCCATCTCTATTGAATATGGAAAAGGTTTTGTCGCCGATTATGAAGAAGTAAACAAACCTTACATGATCATGGAGACTCATTAATCCTTATTTGAGTTCACTCACTAATTATATCCACTGTGTGAGCTATTGACATTCCCCTGTGCTTAATAATAACCTTCAATACCTTGCAGTGTGGTTGCAAAGTGAGGTTACTATATATATGTAACATATTTTCATAACAAGATACGATAATACGGTCTTCATTTGGACGGTAATGTCCTTATTAACAGGGTCCTGAGATCTAGATTTTAGTTCTTATCTAATCACGTTATCATCATGATAAATCATTGACACTGTTGCCGTTTTCCTTGAGATATTTGCGAATTTCCTTTCATAAATTCAGGATTTGATTTGTAATAGTGTCTCGGATGAAATGAATTTAGGTCCTAGTTTGAGCTCCAATGCTTGTTGTTAGACTAAAAGTTGATCGGGTGGTCACAATGGCTATTCACTGGGAGAATATTAACTGAATGGACGCAGAACGTCTGACTGATTCAACTCTGACGTGTGACCAGCCTGTGGATCGGGTGGCCGTAGGTTGAAATCACAGTTTCGCCCCGATTATGTATCTAGGTTTGCCCCTACTATTAAAACGTTTTGTTCTGAAGGTTCTCCATTCAGTTAGTCTGCCATGAGCTATTCCTGTTTGTCACCAAAGCAACGACCCACGATTACCAGAAAGTTTTACATACAGTGCACGTTGCTGAATGCGGAGTTAAACAAAACACAGAAACACAGAGTCACACACACAAGGATACACACACATACCCTAACTGACAGAAATACACACAGACATACATGGACACACACCGACAGACAGACACACACACACATACCCTTCACTGACAGAAATACACACAGACATACATGGACACACACCGACAGACACACACACACACATACCCTACACTGACAGAAATACACACAGACATACATGGACACACACCGACAGACAGACAGACACACACACATACCCTACACTGACAGAAATACACACAGACACACATGGACACACACCGACAGACAGACACACACACACACATACCCTACACTGACAGAAATACACACAGACACACATGGACACACACCGACAGACAGACACACACACACACATACCCTACACTGACAGAAATACACACAGACATACATGGACACACACCGACAGACAGACACACACACACATACCCTTCACTGACAGAAATACACACAGACATACATGGACACACACCGACAGACACACACACACACATACCCTACACTGACAGAAATACACACAGACATACATGGACACACACCGACAGACAGACAGACACACACACATACCCTACACTGACAGAAATACACACAGACACACATGGACACACACCGACAGACAGACACACACACACACATACCCTACACTGACAGAAATACACACAGACACACATGGACACACACCGACAGACAGACACACACACACACATACCCTACACTGACAGAAATACACACAGACATACATGGACACACACCGACAGACACACACACACACATACCCTACACTGACAGAAATACACACAGACATACATGGACACACACCGACAGACAGACAGACACACACACATACCCTACACTGACAGAAATACACACAGACACACATGGACACACACCGACAGACAGACACACACACACACATACCCTACACTGACAGAAATACACACAGACACACATGGACACACACCGACAGACACACACATGCACACACACACACTGACAGCCACACACAAACACACTCACACACATACACACTGACAGAATCACACGGATACACACACACAAACACTGACACACAGACACACTCATACACACACACACTGACAGAGACACTCACATAAACATTGACAGACACACTCACACACATACACACCGACAGACACACACAGACACTCTGACAGACACACACAGACACTGACAGTCACACACAGATTCTCTGACAGACACACACAGACACTCTGACAGACGCACTCACACACACACACACAGACGGACACTGACAGACGCACTCACACACTGACAGACACACAGAGACACTCTGACAGACACACTCACACACTGACGGACACACACAGACACTCTGACAGACACACTCACACACTGACAGACACACACAGACACTCTGATAGACACACTCACACACTGACAGACACATAGAGACACTCTGACAGACACACTCACACACTGACAGATATACACAGACACTCTGACAGACACACTCACACACTGACAGACACACACATACACACCGACAGACACACACAGACACTCTGACAGACACACACAGACACTCTGACAGACACACTCTATCACAGAGAGACACACACAGACTCTCTGACAGACATACACATACACACCGACAGACACACACAGACACTCTGACAGACACACACAGACACTCTGACAGACACACTCCATCACAGAGACACACACACAGACTCTCTGACAGACACACTCACACACTGACAGTCACACAGACACTCTGACAGACGCACTCACACCCTTACGGACACACACAGACACTCTGACAGACACACTCACAAACTGACAGACACACAGACACTCTGACAGACACACTCACACACTGACAGACACACACAGACACTCTGACAGACACACTCACACACTGACAGTCACACACAGACTCTCTGACAGACACACACAGACACTCTGACAGACGCACTCACACACACACACACAGACGGACACTGACAGACGCACTCACACACTGACAGACACACAGAGACACTCTGACAGACACACTCATACACTGACGGACACACACAGACACTCTGACAGACACACTCACACACTGACAGACACACACAGACACTCTGACAGACACACTCACACACTGACAGACACACACAGACACTCTGACAGACACACTCACACACTGACAGACACACACAGACACTCTGACAGACACACTCAAATCGTAGTTTAGTTACCTCAAATATAGTAATATCATGTACTTTGATATATACACTTTTTGTATCTGACTTACCTACAGGTTTGGGCTACAAAGCTTCTGCTTCGGAAAATTTGTCTGGAGTGCACTGGTGTGCAGATTACATCATTATAACATGTTACGACACGACATGATCTGTTTATAATATACGTTCAGACTTGTCTTAAAGTCATCATATGTTGGGGGTTGGGGGAGTGGGGGTGCGGTGGGAACGGGGGCGGGGTTGGTGACAATGCGTTAACTGACAATTGGGACACGTTACAGCCTGCTTAGACAGGTACACACACTTCATGAGTGCGTGTTAGTTTCTGGTTCTAGGTCTGAAATGTAGGTTTGTAATCAACAGGGGTATACTACATTTTATCGTAGCTATTTACAATGCTATCATTTTACTGCACCTGGCTCTACCAGTGCAACTAAATCTACCTAACACTAACTCCCGCGACAGCCTTTTCGATTTTGTTTCAACGGTTTGACGTGTACTCATTGTATTGTAAGTTTTGACCCCGATAAAACGGATACCGGGCTATTACTGAGAAGAGTATGTACATTAGGAGTGAAGCCCTGTTATTTAAAACCAAGTGATATTCAACGAATCATTGCTGTTGAGAACAGTTCTTTTGCACATGTAAATGCACACATATGTTGACGCCTCAAACAGTAGTCGCTCCGAAGACGGTGCTTCTGGGTTAAAGAGGTTTCACAGAATAAAAAGACACATTTTCCATAAAATGAGATGAAATGGGGTTTAACGACGCGTTCAAGATTATTTCACTTATATAACGACGAGCATGCACGTGTCGGTGCCTGCTTGTAATAGTCCGGACGATTTTATAGTGCTATCCTACTGAGAAGTCATGTTGCAGTTTATCATGAATAAACTCTGACGTGTTACTTACCTGTGTATCAGTTTGTCACAATGACTGTTGATGATAGGATATCAGCAAAATGGATGACCAACGGAAAAGATCAACTCTGACGTGTTACTTACCTGTGTATCAGTTGGTCACAATGACTGTGGATGATAGGATATTAGCAAAATGGATGAACAACGGAGAGGATCAACTCTGACGTGTTACTTACCTGTGTATCAGTTGGTCACAATGACTGTTGATGATAGGATATTAGCAAAATAGATGAACAACGGAGAGGATCAACTCTGACGTGTTACTTACCTGTGTATCAGTTGGTCACAATGACAGTTGATGATAGGATATCAGCAAAATAGATGAACAACGGAGAGGATCAACCCTGACGTGTTACTTACCTGTGTATCGGTTGGTCACAATGACTGTTGATGATAGGATATTAGCAAAATGGATGAACAACGGAGAGGATCAACTCTGACGCGTGACTTACCTGGGTATCGGTTGTTCACTATGACTGTTGACTGGAGGAATATTAACTGAATGGACGAACAAGTGGAGGATCAACTCTGAAGTGTGACATATGTGTATCGGTTGGTCACAATGACAACTGATAATAGGATATCAGCAAAATGGATGAACAACGTGGATGATCACCCACGTGTAGACTTACATCTAGTCTCTGAAATGGTCATATTTTACGGATAAAACAGTTGTTAAATTATAGTAATAAAATATAAGAAAAAGGAGCCCAGAGACTCTCTTCATTTTCAGACTTGCAAAATGTCATAGGCTTGCATGGGCTGTATTGGATATATTATTTCAGGAGCAAACAAATACTAGCTGGAGAAAAGGAAACACGTTGACTATTCCTATATCATAACAAGGTCTATCCTCTGGCTGTGTCTTGTGGGCAATTACACCAACTCCCTTAAGGCTATTGCACTCACAGACCTATGATTTATGAACTCTCTAACAACGTCTATTATCTTCTATAGACAATAAAGCATGATTAGCCCTGTACTTGGTTGCCAGTGCACTTCATTCAGTGGACAACGTTCAGTTTTGTAAAGGAAATAACAGTGTTTATATAGAAATAAATTACAGTAAAGTATAGTTTGTCAAGAATAAATAAGAATTGACCATCGATGGAAGTGCGACGGTCTGTGGCGATCGGATCAGGAGATCTGGTTAGTTTCATAATTGTCAGGTTCTTGTCGAAGAGAGCGATGACTTTCTCTGTTACTTACAAGAAATGGCTTTCGTGGCACTGAAAACTAGGAATAACTATACCGTCGGGTATTTTAGCACACGTAAATACAGTGTTTGTTGATGATAAGGTCTGGTGTATAACATTATTGAAACGTCCACATTTTGAAGGCGATTTATTCCAAACGACCATAAATCGATCGTTTTGTATCGATTCTGTAGTTTCGAGCAAGGATCTGTTATAATGGTGAACGTTTGTGCTTATTATGTTGTCGTAGTTTTTTGTAAGCTGACAATTTGTTCCGTTAGCTGACGTGTGCTTTGTCAGGTGTCAGAGATTCGATCTTCGTGTATTTTGAAGTGTAGGTAGGATTTAATTACCCGCAATCAATTTAATTTAAATGAAAGAATATGTTGATATGTTTATGTCTGTCAAGTTTGTTTTTTTCTTTTGAATATGATGTAAAATGGGTATTCCTCACCTCTGTTGTAGCGCTGTTTGAAATGTGTGTGTGTGTGTGTGTGTGTGTGTGTGTGTGTGTGTGTGTGTGTGTGTGTGTGTCAAAACGATCCCACGTTACACAAATAATACTGACGGTGACCGCTGTTGCTGTTGAAGACTATTTATAATAAGCAATGACCTTAAATACTTTGTAAATCCGTCACTGGAATCCTTTGTTCGCCTGATGTCTTTTTATCTTATAACCTAATTTTTAATGCAATGAAATTGTATGAGTCCCTTTATCAGTAATTGTAATCCTGGATGGTATGTCCTATGGGCCTGTGGCCGCTAACTTGAAATGAAGGTGTTACTAAATAGTGCGGTCCTGTTGAAGTTTACACAAATGACTAAATCAAAGGTCTCCTCAAACAGCAAGGGGCTTGCGTGTGTACGTCTGTAATATGTTTTAGATAAATTGGTGAATTGGTTGAACATATAATTATATGTAATTTTATATAGTCATATAACCAAACTCCATGTATATCGAGACCGCCTACGTGGTTTAATGGTAGAGCGTCCGCCCGGAGAGCGGAAGGTCCGGGGTTCGATCCCCGGCCGCGTCATACCCAAACAAGTTAAAAGATGGTACTTGTTGTTACCCTGTCTGGCGCTCGGCATTAAGGGGCTAAAACAAGGACTGGTCGGCTCGGAGTCAGTATACTGTGTCTGAGTGGGGTATACATGTTAAACTGCGGCATGGTATCTCAGTGTCACTATAAACGGCATCAATCCGGACTAGTACATGTACAAGCAGCCACACACACACACACACATACACGTGCATACACGTCGCTATATAACTGCAATAATCTTGGACGCGACGTTAAACCCCATTTCACCTCACCTCATGTATATCGAAATTCGAAATTGTTGTTAAAGTGTTGTTTGATAAGTAAATATAACTCCATGGTTGTTTCGTGCTGTTATGGGAGTCACTATGGGAGTCACTATGGGAGTCACTATGGGAGTCACTGCAAACACGTTGGCTTTATACGTGAGTCTTGTAGCTTTTCGTCGCTTGTAGCAATGTTCCAGCAATATCATGGCGAAGGATACCAGAAATGGGTTGGCATAATATGTAAAAGTATTGTTCTTTGAATTAAACCAAAGAGCAACGTGTCGAAAGCATCTATCTCATGGTTATCTTAGACATTGTTAGCTCACCAGGTACGACAAGGGGCATCGGTGATAATTGTATTATATCAATCAAGCACCGCAACACAACTAGTTTCGTTAAAGAAAACAGAAGATTAGATTATTGTTTAACAACGACCGATATTACAGCATGTCAGATTTAAATTATCAGATATTAACTGTCAGTTTAAATAAAGAGTTGGGGCACGGGTGGCCCAGTCGTCTGAGGCGCCGCGATTCGCTGTGCAGAGTTGCGTCCCTTGGACACGCCAGAAAAAACCTATGATTGTTGGTTCGAATCCCGGTTCGCCCCGATTTTGTTTCTAGGTTTGTCAGCACCATGCCCGTACTCGTGGGTTTCACAGAAGTGGTAAACGTCTGACACCTGCATCACTTCTACACTTCTAGTGTATCCCCTAGTCTTTCCGTGTTGGCATCAGGCTGATTGTCTTTACCCGGTAGATCTTCCGCGCTTTCCTCGCTGTTGTTTAAGACTATTTTGACTAACCACTGGCTCATATCAATATGGACGAATATCTGTAAGGTCACTGAGCGAAAATTCAACGTTTTCGTCGATGGCATTTATAGGTGATGCAATAGCAAACGCTAGTCATCTACCAAACGCTACACAGAAACAGTGATCGTCTGCAAGTCGCCACTATGACGTCACGTCACGTGATGACAACGGTGCTCATTACCTCTCGGTTGTTTCCGGAATACGAGCATGTTTTAACGTTTTAACGTCTCAAATATTGGCTTTAGACATTTTCCCTTCAAGATATTTGTTCTAATATGCTTTATAAATTATTTAATCCCAAATTTAGTTTTCTCTCTATTTACTATAACTATTGCCGATCTCGGTGAGGTGAGGTGAAATGGGGTTTAGCTACTTCTTCAAGACTATTGCACTTAAACAGAGACGTACATGTTCCTTGTTTTAGCCCCTTAATGCAGAGGACCAGGCAGGGTAACAACAAGTTCCATCTTTTAACGTATCTGGTATGATGTGGTCGGGGATCGAACCCCGGACCTTCCAGCCTCCAGCCTCCAGGCGCACCACCACAAGACGACGGAGGCGGTCTCCGATCTCGGATGCCATACTGACGGCAGTAGTGAGGCCCTGAACAGGTTTCGCTTCATCCGCCGCTCGTGAAAAGATCACTTCAAACTTAACCCCTCGATAAAACAAACAGTATGTCAACCACCAATGGATTCTCTCTATATAAAGAGCAATGTTATCACGTAGTCTGACCAATTGACGTCTCCCGATACAATCCCTTATAATTCCGACTTTCATCAAAAATTGTACATCAATGGAAGTTGACGGAAGCCAACGAAATACATTCTGGTTCAAGGCCACGCATTAGACCTGTGGAACTGATATACGTGGG